TGCTGGGACCTATAAATACTTTGTATATCTTCCAAGATAATAGTAAATGACCAAGGTAAGTGAAAATGTCCACCTGTCAATGTGTTTGTGACAATGTGAGTACAATTTCAGTACCTAATACTAGCGTCAGAACAAAGATTGGTTATGAAATGACACGAACTACTATAAATTGTAATTATCAGAACATTAAAATTATATAAAATATGAAAAATGGAAAAAAAGGTATATCGGCAACACTTCTGCAAGCGGCAGCGCTCCATGTTGCCGCCAGGTGATCGCCAAGTGCCAACTTTGCGGCCTCATATCTCGGTAAGTACTGACTCTAAAAAAATTTTTTTTATCCTATAACACTTAGTTCGGGCGAGATAAAAGCGACTATTGGCAGAAATGTGGGCTAGTGCAAAGATGAGTAGTGGGGAGGTTGAAGAGGGTTGGAATAGTTTTAAAAATGCAGTATTAGAATGTGGGGCAGAAGTTTGTGGTTATAGGAGGGTGGGGGCAGGAGGAAAGAGGAGTGATTGGTGGAATGATGAAGTAAAGGGTGTGATAAAAGTGAAAAAGATAGCTTACGAGAGGTTTTTACAAAGCAGAAGTGTTATAAGAAGAGCAGAGTAAAATGGAGAGTAAAAGAAAGGTGAAGAGAGTGGTGAGAGAGTGCAAAAGGAAGCAGATGAAAGATGGGAAGCGGCACTGTCAAGAAATTTTAATGAAAATAAGAAAAATTTTGGAGTGAGTTAAACAATAAGAAGCCTAGGGAAAGTATATTTGTCAGTTAAAAAACAAAAGTAGGGGATTAGTAGATGGGGAGAGGGAGGTATTAGGTAGATGGCGAGAATATTTTGAGGAACTTTAAATGTTTTAGGAAGAAAGGGAGGCGGTAAAATTTTATGCACTGGGCCCGGGGGGTATACCATCTTTTAGGAGTGAAGAAAAAGCAGAATGAAAGTGTGGTGGAGGTACGTGAGGCATTACGTAGAATGAAAGGGGGGAAAGCAGCTGGAACTGATGGGATCATGACAGAAATGTTAAAAGCAGGGGGGCATATAGGGTTGGGGTGGTTGGTACTTTTGTTTAATAAATGTATGAAAGAGGGGAAGGTACCTAGGGATTGGCAGAGAGCATGTATAGTCCCTTTATATAAAGGAAAGGGGACAAAAGAGATTGTAAAAATTATAGAGGAATAAGTTTACTGAGTATACCAGGAAAAGTATACAGCAGGGTCATAATTGAAAGAATTAGAGGTAAGACAGAATGTAGGATTGCAGATGAGCAGGGAGGCTTCAGAGTGGGTATGGGATGTGTAGATCAAGTGTTTACATTGAAGCATATATGTGAACAGTATTTAGATAAAGGTAGGGAAGTTTTTATTGCATTTATGGATTTAGAAAAGGCATATGATAGAGTGGATAGAGGAGCAATGTGGCAATGTTGCAAGTATATGGAATAGGTGGTAAATTACTAAATGCTGTAAAGAGCGTTTATGAGGATAGTGAGGCTCAGGTTAGGGTGTGAGAAGAGAGGGAGAATACTTCCCGTAAAAGTAGGTCTAGACAGGGATGTGTAATGTCATCATGGTTGTTTAAATATTTATAGATGGGGTTTTTAAAAGAAGTAAATGCTAGGGTGTTTGGGAGAGGGGTGGGATTAAATTTATAGGGAGTCAAATTCAAAATGGGAATTGACACAGTTACTTTTTGCTGATGATACTGTGCTTATGGAGATTCTAAAGAAAAATTGCAAAGGTTAGTGGATGAGTTTGAGAATGTGTGAAAAGGTAGAAAGTTGAAAGTGAACATAGAAAAGAGTAAGGTGATGAGGGTATCAAATGATTTTTGATAAAGAAAAATTGGATATCAAATTGGGGAGGAGGAGTAAGGAAGAAGTGAATGTTTTCAATATACTTGGGAGTTTTACGTTCGGCGGATGGATTATGAAGGATGAGGTTAATCAAGAATTGATGAGGGAAAAAAGGTGAGTGGTACGTTGAGGTATATGTGGAGTCAAAAAACGTTATCTATGGAGGCAAAGAAGGGAATTATGAAATTATAGTAGTACCAACACTCTTATATGGATGTGAAAACTTGGGTGGTAAATGCAGCAGCGAGGACGGTTGGAGGCAGTGGAGATGTCCCCTTTTAGGGCAATGTGGGTGAAATATATGCAAAAATCAGAGTGTGAAATAGGGGAAAAGGGGGTTTTTAAAAAAGCATTAGCAAGGGCAGAAGAGGGGTGTGAGGTGGTTGGTCATTTAAGAGAGGATCAAGTAGAATACATGGAAAGCATATAAATCTATAGGGTAAGGAAGGAGGGTAGGGTCCCGTCCTCGAAAGGGTTGGGAAAGAGGGGGTAAAGGAGGTTTTTTTGGCTAGGGTTTGGACTTCCAGCAAGCGTGCATGAGCGTGTTAGATAGGAGTGAATGGAGGCGAATGATACTTGGGACCTTGACGATCTGTTGGAGTGTGGGGCAGGGTAACATTTATTGAAGGGATTCAGGGAAACCGGTTATGTTCATATAATCGGACTTGAGTCCTGTAAATGGGAAGTACAATGCCTGCACTTTAAAGGAGGGGTTTGGGATATTGGCAGTTTGGAGGGATATGTTTTGTATCTTTATACGTATATGCTTCTAAGCTGTTTTATTCTGAGCACCTCTGCAAAAGCAGTGATAATGTGTGAGTGTGGTGAAAGTGTTGAATGATGATGAAAGTGTTTTCTTTTTGGGGATTTTCTTTCTTTTTTGGGTCACCCTGCCTCGGTGGGAGATGGCCGACTTGTTGAAAAAAAAAAAATCTTAGAAAAATGTGCTTTTTTTTCAATAAAAAAAATTTTTTTTTTTTATTTTTCAAAATATTCGGGGCACTTTGGTAGTGAACGTATATACATGTATATGTTTGGACCTTTGGCAGGTTAAAGGAGGGGTTTGGAGGGTTATGTTATATATATGCTTCTAAA